GTATTGCCGTAAAACGACGGTAAAATGGATACGGAGCGTTATCGAGCAAGCGTTTCCTCTCGGGTGATCGAGCGCCACTGAAGTACGCCGACCTTCGATTAGAACCGTTTATAGCGGTAATAACATCGATTCGATGATGATCCGACTGTGACCCATGTGTTTTATCAATTATTGCGAAACTAATGCTCGAGCAATAATCCTATATCGCGATAGCTAGGCACTCGAATCGATCCTGCGAACTCTTTTGACCCTACGTTGCGGTGAAATTTAATTTATCTTTCATAAAGTGGAATTATCGCTCTTTATAGCCACGAGTTAGTCCGTATTGATCCATTCCATACTTGGTTATTTATAAATGTATACGACAATTAATTGGTTGAGTTCGAATTTTGGAAATTAAATCCTTTGGAATCGTAACTAAAATGTGCAACAAGATGGTGTTACTTTCAATCATGTATGCTATTGTGACGATATTCGATTACACGAATTTTTACATTTTTAAACTAGCTGATTTATCTTACACTAAACTGCACCTATTTCATACCATGCACGAACACCCTTTCCTATAAAAATTCTCCTGATCTATTTCTTAAAATGCTGACTGTTCGCACGTTCTCTTTCTATAAACCATATATATGCATATTTTGATTTAATCTTCATTCGAGTAGCAAACTTAACAAAAAAAAACCTGCATATACGATTTTGTTCCTTTGTAGTCCCTAACAAATCCTAATCCCGTAATCCTAATCCCTCCAAAGAACGCATCCAAATGCAAAGTATACGCGAGAACAAACTTGCACCGTACCAAAACAGCAAGCAAACAAAGGCGAGGAATCGATTCCACGGTCCGAAAAAATTAGTGGCACTCTGCTCGGTCAGACGTCTCGGTCGCGATGGCCATTACGCACATTGCGGTTGATACCGCAATCTCTAGTGGACGCGAACCGGACAGGATCGACATCCGAGATTCGGGGAACGAACCTCGAACGTTGCATCGCGTTTTACGAGGCGTTTTACTCCGGTGTGCCTGACCATCGGTCTTCTCCTCTCTCTCCGTTCCACTCGTTTGCTGCCGCAACGGACTCTCCTACTCTCCTGTCGATCCGACCGTCTCTTTCGCCGTAAAGGAGGCTCGTGCAGCGGTGCAGGGTCATGGCCGGACATCGTCTGCCCATACTCTCGGCTCCTACACCCACGCTACATCTGTTATACTCGCCCCCTTTCGCTCGCTGCACCCTCGTAAAGTCGCGTTTCATTATGCGCCCGAATATAAGTTACCGCAATTTACGCCTCTGGCAACTTCGTCTCCTCCTCCCCTCGAGCCCTCCGGAGAGTTCATTTTGCAAGCAGAAGACGCGAGCCAGACTATCGCGACTGATCCTCGCTGATTTACAGGCTCGGCAGGTGGGCAACGAACTAACTTCTCGAAGGAAGGGGATGCAATTTTAATCTAGTACGAGTTTCAATTGTTTTCGGCGGAGAAAGTAACTTTTGTTCGCTGAAATTTCAATAGTAGAATTGTGTCATACGTACGGTTTGCTCGTGTTCGAATTAGCGTTGATTCGTGTCGTACGGGTTTGTAGACTGCCAGGAAACGCGAATACGGTTGGGTTTACCGGTGGTTCAGGTATCGTAGATTTATTTTACTACGTATATGTTTGAAGATGGGTAGAATTCGTTTGTTATTTGAGCTTTTGTATATTTCCGAGCAAATGCCACCGTACTTTTTTCCCGTAAATTGTATTTGCATGGTAGCGACGCTATCGATAGGTCTACGTGATAAGAAATGATAATTTTATGTACTATGAATGTATTTCATGTACTATGAAAATTGTAAGGTAACAGTTATGGATACAATTTGTCCTAATTAAGTTTCATCGTCTATTTCTTTGCTCGTATCTAGCGTCATTATAATATATTTCTGCTTATTCGATATTTCTGCATCAGAGGACGGGTATTCGTACTAACAGTAAACGTTGCATAATGAATCAATAATAAATAATCATTATTACACACACTCGTTTTCAAATGTATATTACACATACCAAGCATTCTCGAGCTGCAAATACGTTCCTCGTGCAAGTGGTCCGAAAATTGTAAGGAAAAAAATCCACTACTAAATGTTATGAGATTTAGCGAGGAAGGTTATACGCCAACATCTCGAGTACCACGGTCGAGGTAAATAATAAACACAAACGTGACACGCGATTTTCGGTACGACGAGACGCTACGTGTCCAAGATGACGCAATCCGAAAAACGAAGGTGCAAAGGTGTTGCAAGATCGAATGGACCGAGCATTTTTCGAGGCTGACTCACGGGACAATGACCAGCATCGAGAGTATCGAGATTTTCGACAAAATCGCGCAACAGCCCGACGCAGGGTCAACGACCTTAAACGAACGATTCGCGACTTTCCGATGTTTTAAATGTTTAACGCGCATTTCTCGAATTACTACGTCGTATTCGAGCCTACAAAGTTTACGTATTTGTAACAGATACAGCCGCAACCATACACTGTCGCTCGCATACGAATCGAATCGTACGAAAATCAAATTCTAAGTTTGATATTCTCAAGCAAAGCAATCGTAACAGGAATCTTTTCTATTACTTCTTATATTGAAAACATTTGAAATTTCCGATGAAGCAGTATAAATTAAAAAAAAAACTTATACATGGAAAGATTGAAAGATGCTGAAAAATCTTTAAACAGCAGTGGACGTATCTACCTATACTTTTATGTCTTATTTTCTACGCGAGATCGATCGACTTGGGAGTTTGCGAGGACTTACGATTTCTAACGGCGATACGACGTTTCCCGTGAAAAGACATCCCCGAAGTGACTTTTTCCCCTCGAAAGGGAATCCGGAATTTGAGGCGCGCTAAAGTGGTCCGCGTTGTTGCGCGCGACAACCACGTGTTGCACTCTCCGAGTCGATACCTCGCGCCACACGCCGTCGTGCACGTCCTAGTTGAGCCTCGCGTTTCTCGAGTGAAATGTAAACCAAATGCTTCGCACCCGGTGAAATTTTCAACGTAATCGCAGTTTATTCGACACCATCGGTGTTCGTATTTACAGCGTACAAAAATAATTGTAGGAAACGACACAGGACAGTGGGACATAGAAAGTAACAAAAGTAAAATAAATACTTAAATAAATTAATAAATAAATAAATAGTCGGATAAAAAAAGGAACACAAAAATCGTTCGACATTTCCTCAATGCGGGTGACATTGACGAAATTTACAATCTTTCCGCGCGAAAGCACGATTCTTCTCGCAGAAGAGCAGCTAAACAAATAGTTTCACAATTAGGCAACATTATCATTTCAAGGTAACTACCGGTTTCGTCGTCTACGATTGGAATTGCCATTCGAATCAACCAGCCCCCCAAGTAGGCTAACCCAAAGACTCGCTGTCATCGTTCTCTCATGCAACCACGGCTAAACGGTCCCTCGTCTTTTGACCCTCGTCTTTGAGCATCTTTCTGGAAACCCGTGGGGACCAATTTTATGGTGAGAACGAATCGTCTACTCAGGTGCAGGTGGAAAAGTGTGGAAAGTGTCCTCGAATCACGCCAACGTACGAACGATCGGACAAGCCCGTTTTTTCTCCCGATAAAATTTAGGTGCATTGGTAAACGAAAATTAGGTGCAATGATTTGATATTCGTCGAATATGGAATTTTATCGTTTCAGATTTAAGTGGTTATTCGAGATTTCAGATTCAAGTAGTTATTCGAGAAATAAACTTTGGCGTATTTGATAACGAAATAATAATGTTCGTTGGGAAGATTGTATGTTAAAAAATAAAAGGTGATAAGCTTTCAATTTTACATAAGATACTATTTATGATATATTAATTGGAAAGAATATCTTGGCTGTGTCTCTAAAATAATCGTTACTTCGTGGTGACAATTTTGAAGACTCGAATAATTTGCAGTAATACACTCATGTTTTACAAATGTACACTATAAGAATAAACACACATTTCATTCTTATCTCTCTTTTATCTATATTCGATACTCTATCTTATACCATTTCCTTTTTTTTTTTTAGGTATTAGACAAAGCCTGTCACGAAACATACGTATATCATAATTTTGTTATCGAACACGTCAAAATTGATTTTTACGATTCTTTTCACGTTTACGACTCGTCCTTTAGAGAACTCTAGCAAAAAAGAAACGTAGTTCGTTAAACGTTTCGATCGACCACTTAAGTTACTCCGTTGCAGAATGATTACACGAAGATGTTTGATCGAAAAAGTGGACGAAATTCTGAATTCTTTAATATTGCACTCGCGGTACAATAGAAAGGTATTATTATTATCTCTTTACGTTTGAGCGTACCTTTGTAGAAATAAAGAGTACACGGAACGACATTTCATATTTCAACGGTCCTCGGAACTCTCGCGTAGCACGAACGTCAAAAGTTTCCTGCTCGAAGTTAACTTTTCGCGACTTTTACAGACCATCGCTTCTGTCTCGCGAAAGCAATCTCCCCTTTCGTTCTCGTAAAGTTAGCCATTATTAAACTTTTCCGTACATTTAAAAAATTTAATCAAGACAACATTTTTTCCCTGCGAATCATAAATTTCATCCGCTTTTCCGAATACGAAGGATCTGACTGATCAACACGGATAGACAAACATTCTCAACCAGACAGAAAATTCGAGAGAAAATTTCACGGCTCTTCAGAAACTCCAATTTCGAGTACGAATGAAATACTTTGCGATAAATGTATAAAAATGTCACTTTCCGATCGAACAAAAGTTTGGCCCAACGTATCGGTCGAAACATTCGATAAATTATCCTTGTTCGCGTTAATTTCTGTCGCGTGCTCCGTTTTCGCGAGCGAAACATGTTTATTCGTTCAGGCACCGTTTTAGCAAAGCGCAAGGACTCGTCAGGTCGTTCATCGCTGGTGGTTCGACAACCGTGCAAGGACTCTTAGAAGAGCCGCGAAGCAGTAGAGAACGAGCATTATAAAATCGTACAACTCACGATTTCGCGATGGATGGTGGACGGTCCTGCTTCGGAGGACCTGTTGGAGGGCCGCGTAGAGGTCGAGCATTAGCTGCTCCAGTTGTTCACCCCGGACCTCGGCGTCGTTGTCTGTCGGCAACGAGAATGGAATCGCCATCTTCCTGTTGGCAGGTGCTCGTCGTAGTGGATGAGTTGTTCAACGCCGTTTTGCTTCCACCCTCTTCTTGATTTTAGCGAATTGGCCACTGCAATCGAACCAGTGTCCGTGGATTAGACACTGACCACTTCAATTTACTCTCGCACGCACAACGGAACAACGTCTATCTCGCGTTTTTATCGAGAAAATCGGCAACGATCAAGTGGGCTTAACCCGCTGGTCGAAAGGACTTATTCGACGCGTAAACGTATTTTCGTTGGCACACACGTGGCCCACGATTTCGACGGCGCACGCTCCAATGTTCGCCGCCGCGACTACCGACAAATCTATCGCCGCCACGGATTGCCCGTAGAAAACGCACGTGGTCCACGAGCACCGCGCCAACTTGGCGAGAATCGACGCCCCGAAATGTCACAACAGCGAGCACCCTTCCCGTTCTCTGTCCCAAGTCTCTCAACAACGTCGTCTGCAACGTCTGTAAGGTGGATCCTCGAATGGATCACTTTCCATAGGTGCTGATAACCGCGGTGACTTTACGTTCGCCGAATTCGTTAGACGATCCGTCGACGACGCGATCGCTGAGAATCTAGAAGCGATCTTTGCTCCTCGACAGAGAACACCGGATGACAATATTGGAGAACGTCTCGCGTGGGACACACGGCACCGGAGTTCAATGTTCTCGCGGAAAGCACGGCACACGATGCACTGATCGCGAGAGTCGGCTCGATTCGATTTACTCTCACTCGGTGGCTGGTGCACAATACGAAACTTCGAAGAAATCAGCAAACGATCTCTCTCTGTCTCTCGTGTCGTTTCTATTTTTCTTTCCGTTTCGTTCAAATTCGCGCACGGCACACGGATCGACGGATGTAACACGCTTCTGGTCTGTCCTCTGCGGCGCGGACTATCAACACGCGTGAAGGGCGCAAGTGAGAAAGCGAAGCAACACGAGAACTCTCGACTGAGCTTAGGTAACGAGAAACACGTCTGTACTCCTCGAGGTCTGGCGTGGTAATGATTCTGTGCTTTCGTTTCGGAGCCACTCCGGCCCGCACGTTCTGCCTCGCGGCGGCAACCGACTTCCCCCACTAAACAACCCCGCGCGGCCGGTTCGTGTGTAGTGGGGGTGCGATGCGCGCGCATACGGACTCAAATAATCGGTGGAAAGGGAGGAAAGAAACAGTCACCCGCGGGGGAGGGGACGTCCGTGTACGAGCCCCGCGAGTTTGTGTACTTGCGCGTGGTCGCGGTGTTGTAAATTTACCGGTTAGGGTCAAGTGGGGTAAGACGGAACGAAAATCAAAACTAACGTCAATTTTCCACGACAACGATTTGTCTGGTTTCGGTTGGTCGGAAATAAAATTCGACATTTTTCCAGAAAATTACGTGAAAGTTTTAGAAAATGAATTCTAGAAATAATATAAAGTATCCTAGAAACGAAACGATATATAGACGTACATCTCCTATCTTTGTTGAAGATAGAATATCAAACAATAACACCGCAAGGTTCGTGAATTGTTTGAACGGGTACAAAGATAGTCTTTTCAGGAGACAGTGATTACGTATATATCACGAAATGGACTTCAGACGTAAGTGTACCTGACAAACAGTTACACGTGAATTATTTTCTTTGTTAAAGGCCACATTGTAGAGCATAACAATGCTTGTTTACAATAAATGAAACATGACTACGACACCCCGTGACAATATCTTATTACTCAAACCTGATGTTATATTCTTATCAGAATTCAAAATATCTCTATTAACCATTTATGCAGTAGTGACTCAGAAAAACGTATCCATACCGAATAAAAAGCGAAGCTGTCACGGGAACCGCGAACGTGTCCTATTCGATCCAGCGAGGCGCGGTAGGGGTTCCCGGGGAAGGAACAGTTTCGCACTCTTTTTGTTTCTCGGTGTTCTTTTAACGCGATTTTTGTACTCGACACGTTAATAGGGAAAAAAGAAACACTCGAGGATTTTCTTCTCTCGAGCATGGGACGCGAAACGCTCGCGGAGGCACAGCTGAATCGTGTGTAGCATGTAGCAACGAGATCTCGACAGGAGAGAGAGTGAGAGGATACCCACACAAGCGAACGCCACGGTTGTATGCGCTTGGAAGCAGTAGAGTCGCGTACGACACGACCGAACGACACCCGAGCGTAACTGCGTAGTTTCTGCGAACAACTCCACGGGGGTAGTTGAAGGAGTTCCACCGATACGACGTCCCTATGTACCAGGGATGTTATCACGCGCGAAAAATCGCCGGGTACAGCTCGTCCGTCTCGTCAGCGACATGTTACATCGTCCTGGAGCCCAAGACAAAGTGAAATTCGGGGGTCACTCCAAAAATAAAACAAGAACGAAGTACATCTTTACGTTCTGCCTCGTTTTATGTGAGGTTGGTCATGTAGGTAGCTTTTAATAGAAATTTTGGAGTAAATTGGAATGATATATGGTTATCAGCTTTTGAAGCAGAAATCAAACAGAGATGACTCACAGTGATAAATGGAACTATAGAACCTAACTGTAGGAGTTTACAGAAATCATTACATAGTCGAATATATTCTGTATCCGAGTATTTTGCACCCGGCTCCTAGACAGATCTGGTCTTTCTATTCTACGACAACATGCCTCGGGTTTTTGTAATTGAGTTGTTTCGGTGGTTTGAATCACTTGAAAACGATCGCAATTTTCGCGACGAGGAGACGCGCAACAAGGTCTCGCGTTAATTTAGTCGACGAGAGACGAGAGCAAAAATACCGATACGGGCGTATGAATAAAGCAGAGACGTGACGGTGTTTCATTTCGCGGTAATTCGCGCGACGATATTCATGGGATCGCGATACTTGGCTAAGTGACAATTTTTTATGCGACCAATGAATGGGTAAACAGGCAGAGAAGCAGGAATACAATGTATTCCAATCAGTGGCGTACGCACGGGACGAGGGGGGGAGTCAGAATTCTTTCATAAGTTTTAGAGTAGCACAAATTGTGTAACAGAAATCCTTTTTCTGCTGTACACGTGCTTTTACAGATATCAATTACTTTATCAATGACAACCGAAAGGTACATAGGAAACATTATTAACTCAGAATGATTAAGTACTAATAAGACTACACTCACAGAAAAATTAATGAATTTGTCATAACAACGAAAGGAATTTATAAATAAAAATATACAATGCATATACAGTTAATTTGTTCCTTTTTTTTCAAAAATTCTATTATATAAACCCTTCCCAGAGGTATGTTCTGCGTACGCCACTGGCTCCTACCGCGGTTGATTCACAATGCATACGATGCACCCAGCGCGCTGGCTACTAGCCGTACAATGCAATCGTAACATAAATAACTATCGGCATATTGCAACGCGCCGGGGACAATGAGATCAAAATGAGAGGGCTGGAAAGAGAAGATCGAAAATTCATGGAGCCGAGTATTTCAGATAGGCCATCATGAACGTTGATTTTTTCTTCGCTGCTGCCATCTCCGCCTTTCCTGTCTTCGCATTCCTAACTGAAACCTCACACCGTTAGCCTTATCGGTAATTTATTCGAAGAAGTGGTCAGGAGATAGACCAAACAAAGAAATTCTTAAAATCAAGGTGATCTTACACCGTGTAAAATAAAGGTCGATCGTTAGTTTAAATTTATTTCGTGATGCTCTTGCCACTTGTAGAATTTCTATGAATTCTACATCTACGCAATGTGACTCCATTCGGAGCAATTAAACTGGTAACACCAATCGAGGAGAATTTGAGGTTCCTTCGCTGCGATCGATGCAGCCTTGGTATCGCTAATATCAGGGCGATCCTATCGTCTCTACGCGAATGTTTCTAGAACCTCGTGAATGTTATTGCGCGTAATTCAACAGCAATTATTCGAATTGGACGTCGTTATTGGACTTGCAAATGGCAGCGAGACAAAGAGTCCGACGAATCCACCGAACGCGAGAAATAACGCTGCGATTGACCTGGGTGCGATGCACCGATTCCGTGCGAGTCGACGATCGAGGGCCTATCTGCATTCAGCGGGAGCGGGTTGACGACATGGCAAGAGGAGAATAGATTAATGGGGGGAACAGAGCGGATAGACATTGTCACTGGATATATCAGATGAGAGAGTTAAAGGCCAGGTGAGTCCTCGGTGCATCGGGGATGACGTTACAGAGAGATGACATTACCACCACGAACGATAGAAACTGGAGTCGGCGAGGAGAGTCGCTGTCCATCCCAACGGAGAATGGCACATCGATATCGACAGATCGATGCTTAATGTCGGTCGGACCCGGTCGACGGGCAATTTCGCGCGTGCAACAGCCTAGGACAGTGCCTGTCAACCTTTTTTTTTTTTTTTTACCACGTAACGCGTTTAACACGCACGAACATTTAAGGTTTAATTTATATGGTACTCAATGCGTTCAATCTATCAGAATGCATTCCGATACATTTTCTACTTTTATATCGCGCGATATATTCCAATTCATCGCGTGTAACTCACTGTTCCGAAGATGTACGATTGAGAGACTGTCGAAAACGTTGAAAATTCAATGAAGAGAATTTTAAATACTCGAGCTTTACTTGGACTTATTTTGTGTTACTCACTTGGGCCACTAGCGACAACAGTTGGCCACCACTGTCCTAGGCAGATGCACTTGGTGCCGTTAATCAAATTCGTCCGCGCGGACGTAGAAAGATATTAATTGACTGGATGCGAAACGTCGATCGCTCGGGCATGCCTCGAACTACTTTTCCGCATCGCGACCCGTTCGTCCACGTGATTTATGGCTCGTGTGTCGATTAGATTTTATCGGGGGTCTTAATTAGCTGATAATGGCGAGCCGCTGCTACCGAGCTTTACCTTCGCAACGCGACTATTATCGTTCTTTTCCACGGTGATTCTCTGCGCCTTCCTCTTTTTATCTCGGTGCTCGAGCAACGATCGATACGGGAAAGATGGTACCGATGAACCGATTTTAATCAAATCAACGATTGACGAACGCGATTAAGACAGATAATTGTTAATCCTCCGCGACAATTGACGATTGGATTAATCGGTGGCCGTTCGAGATCGTCGTTTATTACATTGAAACTGAATTCTTCGGTGATGGATGCATATAGCTTCTCAATTTTTTAAGTAAAATTCCGATTGATTTAATTATTCAAATTTTTTTGAAATATATTTATTTTAATAAAAATTCGAGCGTGCGTGCAATTTTCTTCAAGTTTCATTTAAGTACCGCTTCCAGTACTCGATACTCGTGATGTTCCGTTCAAAGCGCGAAGAAAATCGAATAGTTGTCGGTATACTTAAGACTCGATTCTTGCGGCACAGTTCAAACTTACGTGAGACGCTCTTACGAGCTAATCTATCTCTCTTCGTTCTCGAAACTTTGACGCTCGTATCGTGGTTATTCTCGGAAGGATTGAATACACACTAACATCCACCGAGTCCCTTCACGTCTTTATAAGAAAGCTTCCACGCTTATCTTATCTCTCAGCATTAAGTTCGATTTATCAACCGAACACTCGTCCACGCGAATGCAAAGATTATTTTATGAATATTACTTCAACGACGGATTGCGATCGAGGAACATAGAAACATATTTCTATAAATAGCCCTTATCGCGTGGATGGGAGTAAGCAGGTATTGCAGGCGAAATTATGATATCCTCGTGCGTCATGCGGAAGTGTGGGAAAACGGAAGCATAGCTGAATTTAATCCGAAGACGTTTTTCCAATGAATCACCTGATTTTCCAATCGCCACGGAGTGGAGATACCGGATTGAAAAGCCAGAGGAACGCGATTCAGTTGGGATATTCAGAAATAAAAATTCGAACAGGAATAGCTAAAAATGATCAGCTTCGAGGTTCTGTATTTGTTAAACAAATTCGAAATCAGAAAAGCGATGACTTAAACTTCCCCCAATTTTCCCTAGTTTACAACATACTTAAGTTTCATTGATATCTCTCGTCAGGAAGTGCTCGGATTCGGCGTGGAATGACCAATCTGGTATTCATTGAAATAGTGCGACAACCT